TTTCTTTACTAAAAGTACAAGCACCTCAACATTAAAAGAAGAAAAATGAATTGGGAAGATGATTTTTTTAACTAAAGGTACGAGCACCTCAACATTAAAAGAAGACAAATGAATTGGGGGGAGGGGGGGGAGGGGGGGGGGCGTCAGGCTGTCGAAAAATCCGCGCGGAGAGACAAACCTTAAGCTGAAACCAAGACAAACTATATTAACCAAGACAATCCACAAAACACGCCGGCAGGCCGGCGGATATGCACATACAGAATAACGTTTAACATCTAATCATAGTCGGCCTTTTTTTGTAAGACAGTCACGCGCCGTCAGCGGTGTGGCTGAATCCTTGGTCAGGCACCGTCAGCACAAGAGGAGGCAGACAAGCAGCGGCTGCTACAGCAGATTGCGGCAGGACGTTGTCAGTTGGTGAAATGTCGCTGTTCGAAGCCGGTTCGCCAAGGGCATGATTTAGGCCCACCCCAATCAACCGACAGGACATGATGTTATGCTAGATTATGTTATGTTATGTTTATATAGTTTATATCGGTATCAAAAGCATGAGTAGGACACTCCCTTGGTTCAGAGGACGGGCAAGAACCAGAGCCTGGGACACTGCGCCCTGGAGAGAAAAGTTGAGAACTTAGTCACGGAGATTGAGTCTGAGTATAGAACTCCTCCAACCAAATAGCGATGGCCTCCAACCCAAGAGCGATGGCCTCCAACCTACTAGCGATGAATGCCAACTACCCAAATAAACTAAACTAAACAATACTTGTAACCTGACTCTTTGTGATTGTTTGTTGGTGCATGTTACAGAGCAGCACAGGCAGGTCACATTTTTCAATTTTTCACACCCAAACACCATACAATTTGCATCTACTGTTTGGCGATCTGTCAAGGCCAGACTTGCAGGTGCCAAAGGCCAAAGTGGCCAAAGTGTCCAAGGCAGGAAACAGCTTCAAACCATTGAATTCTGCGGCTTAGAGGTGTTTGATGTTTGATGAAGCACATTACACGCTAAGACCATTACACGCTTTCGACGCTTTACCGTCGATTTGGAACTTGTGGAGGCCGATGTGCCGGTGCCAGACCTCATGATCTGCGACTAGGCCAGGTTGGTGAACGCTACTAGGGGCTCCTGGCCGTACTACTAGGAGTAAGGACGCTACTAGGGGCTTCTGGCTTTGCTACTGGGAGCAAGGACGCTACTAGGAGCAAAGGGTTCCAGCCGTATTTCCGCCCTATCTTGACATAGTGCGTTTGCTTCCAGCAAGTACGACAGGTTGGTGTGCCTCAAGGAAGCTTTGCCTCCATGTGCAAAATGCGGAGTGTCATAAGCTTGCACGACTCAAGCACTTCTTTTCGATTCTTCTTGCTTTTGTGTCCCGTGCCTTCTTCTGCAAAACATGTGAACCGAATAGACTGGAGACGCAGAATTGACTGGAGACAGAAACCTTGCACCAGCTGGTTGCAGAGACAGAGGCCTGCGTGCAAAGAAGTTTCAGCCAAGGAACACGTGTTTGCCAGAATCGCCAAAGCCATTCACGAGAGAGATTGAGCATTGTGGAAGCAAAGAACTTGGCTCAATGGGAGTTGGGGAGAACAACAGCTGACAGCATAACTTAACTTAACCTAATAGCAATGGCCTCCAACCTGATAGCGATGGCCTCCACCCTAGCAGCGATGGCCTCCTCCCTAGTATTAGCGATGGCCTCCACCCTAATAGCATGCGTGCCAAATCCCCAAAGGATAGTCTATTCAGATTGTTTGGAAGATGGAGGAGATCAGCTTCCAACCGCACTATAGTCACTAGGACCTATTCTGGGCTTGTCTTGCATAGCCTTTCATGGCCAGCTGTCCTTGGTACAGTTGCATGCCAGAGCGGATGCGAGTCGCATCAGGTGGGTGGTCCAACCGGAATTGAATGTTGCTACATGTCTTATTTTGTGTCATTCTGCACCAATCCATCACAAGGACCACATTGCAAGACACATGTAGATTAGCGGCAAAGTTCCGAATTGTTTCGTTGATGCCCTGATGCACTGTATGGCAACTACAAATTCTACAATTCGGACACAAATGCAGTTTGCCACCCAACATGAGCAAGGAATTGGTCAACAAACAGGACCCTGCCACAGAAAAGTTCTTTACATGTTCATACAGTTGGGTAGTGTTCTTTTCCTTTTTGATGTTAGTCTCAGCCACCTGCTCAGGCTTTCAGTGCAGGGTGTGCCAATTCGTTTGACACTAATGCAGGAGAGGAGGTGATTGACACCAATGCACCGTCGTTGCACATTGGTTGCATGTTCGATTGGCTGCAGAGGCAGGAATTGCATTGCACAGCAATGGTCTGGAAAGCGCAGTCTTTGCAGACTAGATCAGACTAGATCGTTCAATTTGTAACCGCAGCTCAGCGTAGTAGCCACCAGCTCAGTGCCTGCCACCTATTCTATTTCATTGCGGGTAGCTGCTGGCTTTCAGTTTCAGTAGCTGAGTGCTCATATGTGTTTCCATCCTGCCTGAGGAGCTTGTCCGCTCAAGCCCCGATAAACTATTGAGCAGGGCACTAAGTGGCATCGCAGGAGCTCCGGTGGCAAAAACTAACGTACCAATGTCAGAAGATTGACTATATAAATCAGACCTTTCATGGCTGTACGACCTTTCAGACCTCCAAATCAGCCTCCAAGGTCCCCGCTGCACGACTGCACAACTGTCATATGTGTGGGCAGATGGTTGGCCTTCTCTTCGATTTGCATAGCTCTTGATGCACTGACTGCTTATTCGCACCGACAGATCCTCCTTTAGATATATGATTGATGTATATATATATATATTTATATTGGAATAGGAAGACCTCCCAGTTCGACCCCCCGAAACAACACCAGTTGGCTTGAGGGTCTAAAATACCAATATTTCCCACGGCGCCTGGACAGACTCTGGTGTACTCCATGCCTGGACGACCTAGGCACATATTTCCGGAAAGCATTTGCCTACCATCCGGACATCGCAAAGGGCGATGCGAAGGCATGGAAATCAAACAACAGAACGCACACAACGCTCAAAGGCCGAGGCAAGACTAAAACAGCCGCATTCTCAGTGTACAGCTGTCGATTGCACCTTTAGCTTCCTGGGGTGTTTGAGTAGAAGCTGAACACCGAGTTTGCGATCCATGGCCTTTTCTGCGATCTAGTAGCTAGAAGCTATTAGGTTGGAGGCTGGACGCTCGATCGACAGGCCTCTGGCCGCTTCTGGGATCTCTCAGAGGCACAGCAGGGTGGCGACATGTCCACCGAGCCGCTTCGGTGGAGGTCCTCCGAAACGGATTTGAAGCTGTTTTGCTGAATCGCAGTTTGGTTTCAGGTCCACAACACTTCCACCTACAACATGTCCGATTTAGGTGCAACACTCTCACCTGTATCTCTGAACAATTCCCTGAATGAGCATGCCAAAGACTGAGCACAATGGGCAGAGTGCTGTGAGGATGCCCCCACGACGCTGGACTTGCTGGACTGAGGAAGTAGCAAATGCAAGCATTCCTTGAGCGAGTTTGAGCTTCCCTTGAATGTGCTCACACCAGACACAAGGCCCACAAGGCCTCTTCTAGCAAGATTAGCAAGCAAGTCTGTGCTTTCAGTGCTCGGTGGCAGCAGATGGTGAACGTGTGATGGTACTGTGTGATGATATTGGACCCTGTTGGCACAGATTCGAGAGAGTTGCTCGAGGTCTTGCGCACAGGAAAGGTCAGCAGCAAGCTGATTTAGATGAACAAATTCTGATCTCTGACTCGTCAATCTGGGCTTCGCAAGGTGTTTGGTTGGCAAAGTCTGGGAGATGCTGGGAGTGTGTAGGATTGCAGTCGGACTCGTGCGCACGAAAGTCCACACTTTGCTGATCTTTGTGGGCTGCTCTCTTGCAAAGAACAAACAGTGGAACCAGAACCACTGCTGAGCATTTGACATTGTGTATGGCCCGATGTACACAGCTGCCGTTCACACCGCGTGCACCCAGCAGTGCAGCAAGTTGTGTGTTTCTCAACACAATCTGCCCAAACGCGTTGCTCTTGGTGTTGGACATCGAAGTTTGGATCTCTATGCAATTCTGTGCGAGAGAAATCTGCTTCCGTGGATGAAGGGTTCGAAAAGGTGAACCGCTGGCTGAGTGTGCTTGCATCTTTATATGAGCGTCGTTCAAAAACCAACCTCTACTTTTTTAGGAAACAAATTTCAAAGACTGATTTTGAGTGTGCTCTCACTGCAGTCGCGAAAGGTTCGCGAAGGTCTTGCGAAAGGTCTGCGGAAGCCAAGTTGGTGACCTGGGCACCCTGCAACAATTGGGCTTCAGACTTCCGATTGCTTTTCCCGGCCCGGGAAAAAGCAAATTGGACCTGGAAAAAGCAATTTGGCTCCCAATTTGCTCTTTCCCAAGCTTGGAAAAAAGGAAATTGTTTCAGACTTGCAGGCTAAAATTAAGGAGCCGTGGCCCAATGGATAAGGCGCCAGGCTGATAAGCTCGAGCATCACCTGCTCTGAATTGTTTCTCCCAGGGTGGAGAAAGCAATTGGACATCTGTGAGCCAAATTGTTTTTTCCCGGGCCGGGCAAAAGCAAATTGGAAATCAGAACCACTTTGCTTCTTCCCGGCCCAGGAAAAAGCAAATTGGGAGTCTGAGCAAACTGGCCTGAGCAGTCTCTTGTTCATGGAGGGTTTGCTCCCAACCAAAACAACACCAAAATGAAAGTGGCTTGGTTGGCTGGCTTCCTGACCTGTGTCAGTGATCAGAGGACGCAAGACCTGCTAGGGCAACAGCATGGTTCCTTGAAAGTCCCACGCGCGAAAGCTTGCGAAAGCTTCGCGAAGGTCCTGCGAAAGGCAGGGAAAAAAGGAAAGGACTTTTGAACAACCCTCATATATCTTTATGATTTGAGGACTACTTATATCTGGGATTTTAGTTGGTTTTCTCAGGTACCTCAGCCCAGGACATCCAAATGAGCAATGACAAAGATATTGTAAGACCCAGTAGGGGTTTGCTAGATGTCTATCGACTCCCTTTTCACGGAGAGTTGGGTGCCAGACATCAGTTTGGGGATAATTTTGCTTGACTTTGGCCGTGGGCAAACACATAATTCATACACCATTCATATATATATATATATATGCACATCACTCAAATCTTCAGTCACAAGCAAGGCATATTGGCGACTAGCAACCAACTCCATGCTGGAGCCGCAGGACCACACCTAACTGACCATAGGTGACAGATAGGGATGCTCTCTGTGTGGAGGCTTCTTGACATACTGTTGCAAATGGCAACTCAACGTTTTGGCCTTTTAATATTGCTATTACTGAAGCGTGATTAATGGTAGGTAGTTTGAGTGCATGAAACTGGCCGTAGATCCTATCTATCTGCCAGGACTTCTCAGAGCAAGCGATCCTGGAACTTTGGCTTCGCAAGTTTGCATTCGAGGACCTTGCCCAAGGAGGATCGACAGATTCCCAAGAAGCCTTTTGTTTAGGTAAGTTACATTACACAGTCATTTTGCAGAATCGTCTTCGCACATCCTTTAAACGATGAATCTCTGGGATTGCTTGATCAGCATAATGACCTTCTCTCGTTTTCAGCATCATTGGCTTCTTGGTGGAAGGAATTGGAGGCAGAGCTTCCTGAGCTGGTCACCAAAGAGCTGCAGATGTTGACCTCTGTGGAACGCCAGGGGACCCGTTGAGCTGATTTTGGTCAGCTGAACACGGAAGTATTCGGGCGGCTTTCTAGGGTGAGTCCCATCATTCAAATAGGTCTTTCTGAGGTCCAACTAGGGAGGCTCTAAGCGCATTTGCCTCCCAAAAATGTTTCAAGCACTTTGATATCTGCTAGCAATTGAAGGCCGTGAAAAACGCGACGCCATACTGCCTCGCCAGCCACACTGCTTGCAATGACACTCCACGGACACCATGGTGCTGAGGGCAAGGCTCATGGCATCTCAATCTGATTGTGTCCCCTGCCACATCATATCTCCTGTGAGGCATACTATGTATATAGTCATTGACTGCAGCTGGCGAGTGACTTCTTTTCAGGATATGCTTGCACTCAGCAGCACCACCAGCACTGGAGCCCTCAACTTCATGAAACAGGCATATACTTGCAGTTTCAGTCTTACAATTGCCTGAAACTGAGGAGAAGAGCGGCACTTCGAAGCCGGACGCACAAGAAAGGGGGTGTCCTTTAGGAAAGCGAGATTAATTTGTTAATCTTTTCAATGCAATGAAGTTCTCAAACGCCTCATTAAATCAGTCAAGCTTTCTCTTGAAGCTTTGAGCAAATGCCCCTCCCAACATTTCTTGTATCAACTCAGTACCGGGCCGGGTGAAATTCAGTCAATGGGACCATGTTTTTCCGGATGTTTTCCACTTCCAGTGAGCCAGAGTGTATCCTGTATCAAGTGTCATTTTCTCCTTGGGCC